CTTCCCTCCCCCCCCCCCACTCTTCCCTCCCCCCCCACACTCTCTTCCCTCCCCCCCCCACTCTTCACTCTTCCCTCTCCCCCCCACTCTTCCCTCCCCCCCACACTCTCTTCCCTCCCCCCCACACTCTTCCCTCCCCCCCACACTCTTCCCTCCCCCCACCCTTCCCTCCCCCCACACTCTTCCCTCTCTTCCCCCCCCCCCCCCCCCCACTCTTCCCTCCCCCCCCCCACTCTTCCCTCCCCCCCCCACACTCTTCCCTCCCCCCCCACACTCTTCCCTCCTCCCCACACTCTTCCCTCCTCCCCACTCTTCCCCCCCCCCCACACTCCCTGCCCCCCCCCACCTGTTCCCTCCCCCCCACACTCTTCCCTCCTCCCCACACTCTTCCCTCCCCCCCACACTCTTCCCTCCTCCCCACTCTTCCCTCCTCCCCACACTCTTCCCTCCTCCCCACACTCTTCCCTCCTCCCCACACTCTTCCCCCCCTCCTCCCCACACTCTTCCCTCCTCCCCACTCTTCCCTCCCCCCACACTCTTCCCTCCCCCCCCCCACACTCTTCCCTCCCCCCACACTCTTCCCTCCCCCCCACACTCTTCCCTCCCCCCCCCCATACTCTTCCCTCCCCCCCCCCCCCCCCCCATACTCTTCCCTCCCCCCCCACACTCTTCCCTCCCCCCCCCCACACTCTTCCCTCCCCCCCACACTCCTCCCTCCCCCCACACTCTTCCCTCCCCCCCACACTCTTCCCTCCCCCCACACTCTTCCCTCCCCCCCACACTCTTCCCCTCCACACTCTTCCCTCCCCCCCACTCTCTTCCTTCCCCCCCACTCTCTTCCTTCCCCCCACACTCTTCCCCCCCCCACACTCTTCCCCCCCCCACACTCTTTTCCTCCCCCCCCCCACACTCTTCCCTCCCCCACCACACTCTTCCCTCCCCCCACACTCTTCCCTCCCCCCCCACACTCTTCCCTCCCCCACACTTCAACCCTTTCCCTCTCCCCTGTCTCAGAACACCGCACCCAGCAAAGACATAACATAACCACAACGTTGTTTAAAATGTTGTTACTTTGGTGCTACATAACCACAACGTTGGGACTCTTGGTTCAACCTTGACGAGGAGCGGACGTCTGCACCCCAGCTTCGCCTGAGGGTTGCCGGATCATGTTCTGTTTCGCAATTTTGGGTTTTGATACTGCCGTTTGTCATTCATATTCAACGTACCGGATTGTTAAGACGCCTGGCGCACATATCGCCTTGGGTCATAGCTGGTTTGTTGATAGATTTTGATCGTTTTCTGGCTGTTTTTTTTTTGGGCGGGGTGACGGTGTTCGGCGCCAGCTTGGCCGAGAGGTGCCGGGAGTTGGCGGGTCTTGGTGGGCTCCTGGTGCCTTCAGCCATGGTTGGCGGCTGGCTTCTGCTGTACCAGAGGGCACTCGTTGACTTTTTGCGTTTTAGTTGGGTGCCGAGATGTTGCTTTTGCTACCCAGTGTTTTGTGTAGGGGTGGGGCCGGTGCTGGTCACCCTGAGGGACTCCTGGGGCTCCTTAATCATCTGCCCATACGTGTGTTTAATTGCCACAACGCATATTAGTTTCTGCTGATAGGTGACATTCATTTTGCCATTAGGCATTGCGATTAACCCTTCATGGGTATGCTGAGGCGCATCCAATCCTTCCATCATCGGCCATAAATCAACAACAACGTTGTTTAAAATGTTGTTACTTTGATGCATCATAATCACAATGTTATTTAAAATGTTACTTTGATGCAACATTGTAACAATATAGTGGCTATGATGTGTGTAAGCAACAGCTGAAAACTATTAAAAACTCTGAAAACCAAAACCTAATTTCAGACATCATAAGAGTCACAATAGGAACAGATTCTATTAAAGAAGAGGGGCAATGGGGCCAACCCCAACCCTGCCTATCTTCTACTAATCTTCTTACAATGTACCTGTTAACATTTTTCAATTTTGCTAGAAATTACCTATTTAAAATTATCTGTTTAGACTAAGGACCTGCCCAAAATGTTATGTGTATTAGTGATGTTACAAGAATGTAAAAATGCTATGTACTCTCATAAACCACAATGAACCTTGGATATAAATAAATATGACGGCCACCTACCACCAATGTATCAGTCTACAAGGTTCGGGAGACTAGCCTCGAGCATCTGGCCTCCAATATATTTGATTATTTACACATACATGAGTTCATCTGAGAATGTGTTCATAGTGATTTTTTTTTCTTTTTAGGCAAGGATTTATGTAATGATATTTTCAAAATTGGATTTAGTTCTCCATTTAGAAACGAGAAAGTATGTTAACAGAGAAACCATTTGCCTATAAGGTGCGTGGATATGGTCTAATCTAAGTAAAGATTTACAATTGTGACCTCTAGATATGTTTTACGGGTACAGTGGCCTTTTATTTATTTATTTATTTATTTATTTATTTATTTATTTATATACAAGAAAGTACATTGGGTTTATGAGAGTACAGAGACGTGAAGTTTGACATTCTTGTAAAGCCACTAGCACGCACAGCGTTTCAAGCAGATCCTTAATCTAACATCATTTTAAAAAGGTAATTTTTAGCAAAATTAAAAAAAAAAGGTTTACAGGTACATTGTAAGAAAGTAAAAAATACATTGTAAGAAGGTCTAAAAATACATTATATGAGAAATCTGACAATACAAAAGCAAAAAAGTAGGTACATTAAAAGTAAATTTAAGGGTTATCCAGAGATACATTTTAGTTTAATTTGAGGATTATTGCGCAACCCGTTCTCGTACTTGCTTATAGTCAATATCTTGCTTATAAATAAGTACATATGTGACATACTAATTTATTGTGAATATTTGAGTTTACCTCGAAATGCTGAATAGAAAACCAAAACCTAGCCTAACCTTCTTAGTATGTTAAGATATTACAATTAGTACTGAGCCTATACCTATATTGATATTACAGTTTTATAAAAATAATTAAACAAAACTAAAATATTTAAAGAAATTGTAAAGTAACTCGGGATATTGTCAAATTTTGTATAAAATCTCTATTGTTTAATAAAACTGAGAGGACAAGTTAGTGCCTTGAAAAACAATATGGCTTGGAATATGTCACATATGTACTTATTTATAAACAAAATAGTGACTATAAGCAATAACTCATATATGTGCTGTCTTGTGCGAGAGCAGGTTGCAACGTAATATATAATGTAGCAAACTATGTGTATAACATGATATAACTTCAGTGATTACAATGCTCAAGTTGTATGGCATAGGTACATATTTTGGGAAATTGTGAAGCATTAGATACAGTGTGAGTTTCAAGCACTAGGTAGGAAACTATGAAGATGAAATTAGGTACTTTTTGGTTTTATTTTTGAATAAGGCAAAAGTTTGACAGCTTTTTAATTCATTTGGGAGTGAGTTCCATAGACTAGGTCCCTTTATTTGCATGGAGTGTTTACACAGATTAAGTTTGACTGGTGATATCAAAGAGATGTTTCTCCTTGGTGTGGTGATTATGCATTCTATTACATCTGTCCAAAAAGAGTTTCAGAACAGGGTATTGTAAATGTAATTGACACAAGAGAATGTGTGGAGTGAGGTTATGTTTAGGGATTTAATCAGGAGGGGCTGAGTGTTGTCTGAAAGCCGAGTTTGTTATTGTTCTGATAGCAGATTTTTGCTGGGTGATGATGGGCTTGAAGTCATTTGCAGAGGTTGAGCCCCATGCTCAGATACCATTTGTGAGATAGGGATAGATTAGCGAATAGTATTGTGAGAAGAGAGCAGAGTTTGGAACATAATATCTAATTTTAGGAAGTATGCCAACCGCTTTTGAGACTTTCTTGGTTATGTGTTGTATGTGGGTGCTGAAGTTGTCTCTTGTCTAAGTATAGGCCAAGGAACATTCCATCATTTTTATTGCTGATGTTAATATTGTCTATTTGAAGCTGAATTGCATTTGTTTATTTGCTTCCATTTTTTTTTTGAGATATATACAAGAGTTGTTACATTCTTGCACAGCCACTAGTACACGTAGCGTTTCGGGCAGGTCCCTGGAATACGATCCCCGCCGCGAAGAATCGTTGTTACAACCAAGTACACATTTTACTGTTGAGTTAAACAGAGGCTACAGTTAAGGATTTGCGCCTAGTAAATCCTCCCCGGCTAGGATACGAACCCATGACAAAGCGCTCGTGAAACACCAGGCGAGTGTCTTACCACCACACCACGGAGACTGGTAAAATAAGATGTAGTAGGTCTTTTTTTATGTTTAGTGTTAGTTTTTTGGTTTACATCCATAAGTGAACTTTTTTCTAGTTCATTGTTTATAACATTATTTAGTGTGTGTGGGTTGGGGTCAGAGTAGATGAGGGTAATATCATCAGCAAATAATGTAGGTGTAAGAATGTTAGAGACATTAGGCAGATCATTGATGCATATAAGAAATAGGAGAGGTCCAAGGATGCTGCCCTGTAGCACCCCTACAGTTAATGGTAGAGTGGGAGAGGTTATATCATCGATGGCAAGATCAAAAGCAAGAGCAACCACTTCAACAGAGTACAAAGGGTAATTTACACTGAGTGGTGTACCCTGTTTCTCAGTGTATACACTGAGTTTACTTTAGTCCTGGACTATGATTCAGAATTAAAGTATTCTTGTTGGTTGATCAGTAAACAATTGTGGAAGCCTAACAACCCTTCAGAGGTTGATAGGCCTTAAGCCCAATACCGAGGCAAACCACTTTAAATAATGTTATCAGTTGAAGTGATGAAGACGATGATTCCCAATAATGTCGCTGAAAATAAGGCACCCATTACACGAGTTGATAATGGTCCAGAATGATCAGTTCTTCATTTTCAGATTAGTGTGTTGGGTGTCTATAGGTGGAGTGGTGTTCTTCAGTAGCATTCACAACCATACTGATATCTTTCACATTAATATTTCCTATTGCAACATAGTAATTGATGTATTTGGTCTTACAGCAGCCATTCGAACTGCGGAACTCCAGCTTAGCCGACACCAAGAAAATGTTTGACCAGAAAGCGAAAGGACACACAGCCAAGATGGCCGCCAACCCGTTCAGTGGGAGCTTCAAGAATCAGGTTTCTACTAAACTGTCCCGTGATGACCCCAACTACGGCAAGTGAGTACAAGTTCCATGTCTAAGTTTCATAATCTGTGTATTTAATTAGAAACCCGAATATCATAATAATTATGGCAATTCACCAGAAGAGAATGATGTGACATTAAAATCGGAGTTAGGCTGAATCTTAACAGTATGCGAATCTAAATTTTATATCGGCACTCATTGCATAAACCAACACAGCTTGTTAATATTTGGTCAACATCAACGCCAGCAGCAACAGAAGCAATAGACATCAGTAACATATATTGTGTAATTGTAATGGCGGCATTACAACTACACAATATATGGCGGCAAATACCAGACCTGTAAGCATACGTAATACCTGCACCACCACCACTGATGGGTTGTATGTTAACAGGACCAATTTCTTCCATGTGCTGTTGTTGGTGTCAATCATGGAATTAACGTGAGACTTGCTAGAATGTTTCATGTATCATTTATACGCTCTGTGATTGACTACAATGCTCTACATCTCACACTGTATACAGACAAAGAGCTGAAATCTCTTGAAACCTTGCAAAATGAAGCTATGCGTCACATCCTTGGGGCTCCAAAGTTCACGAGAATAGTTAATATGAGAGCAGAGTTAAAATTACCTACCATAAGTGAGAGAATTTTGTCTATTAGCACAGTTTTTGGCGTGAAGCCATTGAGTAGATCTAGACAACACATGAAGTTTCAAGCTAAACTTTCTAATATGCTGCACTCACCTGAGGTCTATAGAAGAAGAACGAAATCTGATTATGTATTTTGGTTCTACAAGGTAGCCAACGCCATCAAAATATTAAATATGTACCCAACTCAATTAATGATCAATCAACCAATTACTCCATGGGATAACTGGGATCTATCAGTTGATTTTGTAAATGCGCCCAAGAAAGATAGTGTGCACTCTACATTATTAAAACAGTTAACACTAAAAAGCATCACTGAAAGTACTCAGAGTATGGGTAACGATGTGTATCAGTGCTATACCGACGGCTCTGTAGAAGAAGGTGGACGATGTACCGGATGTGCATGTAATATATTTGAACAATCTTCTCTCATACATACAGCAGTGAAGCGCGTCAATGACTGGGCAAGTACAACTCAAACCGAACTTGCAGGCATATACCTTGCCACTGAATTTTTAAAAGACAAAGGCAGAGGACTTGTATACTGTGACTCGTAGAGTGCACTCCTGACATTGAACGCACATAGTAGTGACACCCAGAAAATAGTCAGTGATATTCGAATGAATGTTTTAGCTGCTAAAGAATACAGATTTGAAATTAAATTCCTATGGATACCATCACATGTTGGCATCTCAAGGCATGACACTGTTGATATGCTTGCAAAGACAGCCTGTAGAAAACCAGTGGTAGAAATTGATATGGGTGTTTCATTAGCAGTGACAAAGAGAATACTTAAACAAATATCTAATGAAGATCTCACCGACCTAACAAATTCACAAAGACCTGAAAGTTCTAGCATTAAATATTGTGATAGATATCGTGAGGAGACATTCACATATGGGTCTAATAGAACAAGAACCCGGCAATGTGATGTTATAGTGGCCAGAATACGCCTGGGATATAGACGTATCTGGCAGCTTTCTTAAAACCCAAATGTCGAGTACACAATGTGTCAGCTTTGTGAAAGAGAAAACATGCACTCTCTTGAACATTATATTGTAGAATGTCCCATACTGACTGACTTTCGCCCTCCTGGGCTAAGGTATGCTGAACTCTGTAGTTACTATATGAGTACTGGAACACTTGATGATATATTGGACTTGTACCCTAGATTGACCATGTAATGTGTCAATTATACAATGTATGTATGTGATGTAACAATATAACCTGAGCTTGTAAAACCACCTTAATCACCTTCAGTGATTAAGTGTTTAATTGCACACTAGTTTCACTATCAGCTATCTCACCCTGTCAGAGTAAACGAGACAAATGTATGTGAATGCATGTGTACTCACCTAATACATGAGTACACATACACTGTGGGGGAAAACCTGACTCCAATAACTAATAATTAAATATATACTTCGATAGCTATGAAGGTCCTCCACTTTTTGAGAAAAAGTGGAAAACAAAATAAGACAATGTAAAAACTGATCCTAAGAACTAGTGTCCTATGGATCTTAGTGAAACTGTATTTCTTATATAAATGGAGTCAAATTAACTTACACAAAATTGGGGGGTTACATGCTAAAAGATTAATACATCCCTAGCATTATTCTGGTGCTGGTTCTTCACCAGAGTAAATAAAATATGAAAGTAAATAAGGTTGCTTGTAATAGATTAATTGGAGGTGAATGCACCTCAATATACTGCTGGATGGAATAATACAGTATATATAGATCAATGGGTTAATATAATAGATCTCTTTGGGAGATCACTACTGTAACTACAGAGTTATTGCTACAGATAAAAAAGGGACAGCTTAGCTGTAAATCTAGAGAGGTGTAATCGGTTGCCACACTCCACCGACGACGTGTTGCATAGGGTAAATTGTTGCACATGAAGGTGGAGAAGCCTAGCACCTCGGTTAGCGTCGCCTTGGTACTGAAAGGCAATTACATTGTAGAAATCTTTTACATAACAGGTAACTACAAATGCATCCTAAATTATAAGGATAACTGTAGAAATCATCAGCTAATATCTGTGCAATTTATATTCAAGCACTGTAAATTCTTTCTGGAGAAAACAATGAAAATAATCATCTATTTAGATGGTAAATTTACTAAAGACACGTATGGGATTTTATTATTTTATATACGGCCTAACGACAACTAGCCTAAATGTTAACTGTGGCCACATGATAACAAACAGGTGAACCTAGCTGCCGAGCCGCGTGTCCGTTGATGTGGAGACTTCAGCAATTCTTCGTCCTCCAGCTGCTGCTTGAAAGGCGTTGACTTTGGAATTGCAGTTATGCTAGTCTGGGACACGGCTATTATGCCAGATAACTTGGCACCGCTCTACTGGTCGTGGGAGGGAGCGAAATAAGTATGGTCTAAACGTAGCTCTGCAACACGCTGTCAATGGCGTCCGAGCCGTGCTCTCTCGTCTGTCGTGACGCTCTCCCGTCTTCCTCCTCTTCCTTATTGTGCATGCGCGGCTCTCGATAGACATCTCGAGCGTAAATGGAAACGTATATATCGCAATTGACTAAGGAAGGAAGAGGTAGTGACGAGTATTAATATCACATTAAATTCTTCTGTGATAAATTAAAATTTCGCGTAACATAAATTGGTCTATTAAAGTTGTGCAGCTAATCGAGGAAATTAAAGTAAAATCGTTTACATTAAAGTAATTTCCTCTAGAATGTTTAATGTCAACTAAATAAGGGAGTTCCAGTAAGTAGTAGTATACTACGAAATTAAACTTATTAGTAAGCAACTATTTTTAGTAAAGGAAATGATAAACTGGACTCTTGTTATAAATCCAACTAAATGTGGAGAGAATTCATGTTACTGTCTGTCGTTCCTCACGTCGTCACTCTCACTAGGAAGAATCTGGCAATATGTTTTAAATAAATCATGATAATGATTAAATCTACAAGTTAGTAATTTTAGTAACTACTTGTGGTTAATACAAAGGTTGCATAAAATACAAAGATGTATAAAACTGTTGGTTATTTCCAACATACACAGTGAGTACTCACCTAGTACAGGTGAGTATGTGTGTGTATATATGTATATGAACATATGTGTGTGTGTATATATGTATATGAACGTATGTGTGTGTGTATGTCTATGTATGTGTATAAAGTATATATGGAAGCTGATCAGAATTACATTTCACCTTTGTAAATGTACATTAATGACACTATGTAAAAGACACATCAAACACTTTATGTAGGGCATACGTAAATCTGTGTATCTATTATTTACGTATGTAGGTTAGCTTAGCATTTTAAAAGCACCGAATCACCTTCTGTAGTTGATTGTTCAATAAACCCCTTAACTATATGTTTAACACATCTCTAACCCTGTCCATGGTGGACAGAAGAAAATGTATATATTCTGGTTAGCATTGTAAATGGGTGGCCACGTCTGTGGTAGAAAATAATAATAAAAAAAAATCTTCCATGTGCTGTCAGAGTCTCAGTAATGTAGTCTGTATATCCACTTGAATTTTGTCAAGTTCCTCTAACTTCCACTTTTAAATTGCTAAGATTCTCACTCCCACCTCCATGTCTTCTTTTCTTTCCATATTACTTGATATTTTCCTAGAAGTATTCCATCCAAAATTATATTATTGATTTAGTTTACACTATTGCAATTATATCAGGTTCTTTTTTCGCTAATCCTTCCTTTGATTTCCGCTGCTTTCTTTATAACTCACTAACATTGTGAGTGTGTGCGTGTATTTACTATTTTTACTATTTGTATTTACTATTACTGTGTGTGTAATTACCTAAATGTAGTTACAGGATGAGAACTACACTCGTGGTGTTCTGTCTTTCCAGTACTCTGTCAAATAACGCTTTGAAACTGCTAACGGTTTTGTATTTGCAAAGCACAGGAACGTAGTATACCATACAAATTGAATAGATCGAATACTAATGACCCAAAGTGGATAACAAATAATTTAAAGACCCTTATAGGTAAAAAGAGAGCTTGGTACAAAAGGATTAAGAATGGGGAAGTCAGGTTAGAACAGGAATTCATACAACTGGTTAGAAATGTTAAAAAAGAGATTAGGAAAGCAAAAAGAAACTATGAAGTTCGCATAGCAGAGCAAGCAAAGTCAAATCCTAAAGGGTTTTTTCAGTTATATCGAACTAAGACTAGGGAAAGGATAGGTCCATTAAAATCTGAGACAGGTCAAATAACGGATAATGACAAGGAGATGAGTAGTATTTTTAACAAATATTTTATATCTGTATTTACTAAAGAAGAACTTAACAATATGCCTTCAGCCGAACAAGTCTATGTGGGTGGGGATGAGGACAGGTTGACTAGTTTAGCAGTTACCAGGGAGGATGTAATTAAACAA